AACTGTAATTCAAAATTCTAATTCTTCAGGATTAAAATAATGTCGTGGATAAAGGAAATAGTGCATGCGAGTTGCAAACGTGAGCTTAACAACCACAGATAAGGAGACCATACGAGGAAATTATTAGATGAAAGTAGTTTAGGTAGATCAATACTAAATGCTTTGCTGAATCCTTAAGAATATATTGGATTTTTTCCAAAAGATTTAAATAAAATTGCCTGAATCACTTCAGGTGGTCGATAATCGAATGATCATCCGCCTTATATAATGAGAGGTACGGTTTAGATAATTAATTAGAGCGTCAGACATCACTAGTTTTTTGAATCCGCTAAAATAGGGTCTGTGACTGCACAGTTAGCGGGATATAGCCATCAGATACGAGTAAGTATAAATTTCTAAATGCAGATTGTAGTGATACATTTAGTTTGTGCTTGTTAATTTCATAATTAGTGAGGCCCACAAGTAAGTTATTACTTGACATACTCGGGGTACTTTACTACCGATGTTCTCTAACCAATATAGAGTGTTTCATAGACGAGTTTCCCTCGACTTTAGACCGTCAAGACTTTAAAATATTCAGAAACCTCTGTGGCATGTGCACAAAATGTCATTAAAAAAGGCTTCACTGTCACGTGCTGTTACGTTGACGGGGGTAAAGCTCACTCAGAAAGATTTCTCATAAACAAGGACATGTAAGTGAATAAGACCGCTATCGAACATTTGCAACAGGACTATTTTAATTTAAAATTCAGAGTTTGAAAGCATGATGTTCCGCCTATCAAATAAACTCCTTAATACCCTTCTCGGACGTTTGCAATAATATGTATAAAAATCCCTCAATACAAACGCTTTATTAATGTGAATGCTTGTTCTGAGTGAAATGTGAAGTTATTTCTATAGGTCCTCTAATCTGAGAATCCTACAGATCTTTCGATTCTAGATGAGACGGGTCCAACTTTCTTTATTTGTTTTTTTACTATTCAACTAAATTTCCACGATTGTCACGAACTACATATACGTTGTCTTACTTGATACTTTGGTTATGATAGCTGTCATACTGATTCATTCCTCTTTTAAAGAGTGTATTTTTTCAAATGACTCGAATTGTGTATTTTTCGATTATGAGGCGAAGCACACTATCAGAACTTGAAACGCTCATTATTGTGACAAGTTCTCATTTTGCTCATGTTCTTTTACTTGATTTGTGATGCTAACCACGCATAAAAGAAAGTCAAACCTGAAACTGGTTGACGTTAATGGATCCGAATTAGACGATAACTTCCTTTTCACAAGGCAAATGCTTTTTAACTTCTTTGTGTGCCATTATTCAGATCCAAATCAGGTCAACCATACTGATAGTGACACTAGTTGTGATTTGATGACAAATGTGATAGAAGATTCTGGTCTACACAGAGATCAGATGCCTGAAGTCCTAGAGCGAAGTGTGACACAGACAGAATGGTATACGAGATGAACCTCATGTAGAACTAGAGTGGACGATTGTTTTTTTTATCGAAAAAAGTCATTTCAACGGTTAAAGAGCGGCGCATATGAATGCTTGAGTCATTTAAAAAGGAGGATTAATGAATACAAGAAAAGCTATTTGTCACTTATTGTGACAGGTCTAGAACTCCCTAGGGTAAAAGTGAGTTACGTTGATGAATAGACAACAGAATAATGTAATATTCGTGACAAATTGAGACGTGCGTATTGCCGAGGGTCGTCGATTATAATCAGCGTTTGTCGTATGTACTACACTATTGCAGACGTAAGGAGAAAGCAACTAACAAGGGGTGCGTTACGATGAGCTATTTGCTAGGTATAGCGAAGCCAGATAAATTTTAAAACTAGTATTTAGATAGTCACATGTAATTGCTTGAGAAACACTAAAAGCTTATTTAATGGTGTGGACTCTGACTATAATGCTAATGAAGAGCTAGCAAATTTGGGTGTAAGGATGGAAAATCGCCTTATTTATTTTGAATAAATTGATAATTCTGTGGTTCGAAAATTCCTAGTGACATTAGAATGAACCGTTAAGTTAGTGCCACGGTCGTTGCAAGTTTATTGGGCAGACTTACTTAATGAACTGACGGTAAGCGACAGAGATTCGACCTTTCAGCGCTCACTAGGTCTATATCGTCTCGTCGCTAGTGCAAGGTTTCAACATCTAGGAACCCGTTTTGAAAGGGAATATAGAACGAAGAGGAACTGCCATTTGCAATCTTGGCATTGGTAATCTGACATTATAAAAATGTGCCATATGTGCTCTAATGATCACACCATTTATCAGTGCTCACATTTTTGACGCTGACAGTGAGAGACTGGTGGTCGGAAGCGAAAGTCAAATGTACTTGCATGGCCAGTCTTCCACAATGACATAGAGCCAATGAATCCGGGTTAAAAACGCGTTGTTAAAGACTGCTCACAGACAAGTTATTATCTGTTGCGTAGAAAACCAGAGGTCAACACAATGAAGGTCGAACCAATCATGAATAGTTATTGAGGATTTGTTGAGTTTCCATGATACCATTTGTACTTGGGATGAAAATCGAGACGTGGAAAGCGTATCTTATGCTTTCTTGAACACTGATATGGACTCGCTGATCTTTGTGAAACAATGACTAATAGACGAATAAATGGAAACTGTTATGACAGGGCTTGGAATTTGACGTGAAGATAATTTACCCATTCTGGATAAATTGGATTTTGACACTGTCTGATGTCAGTCCACAACAGAAGTCATAGCTCTAATTCCTAAGCCAAACTCATAACTTTCAATCCTAATTCCGATTTCTCACAGCATTATATAATCCCCATTATATCGTAGTAAGTAGGTTAGTTTTATCGAGGTTGCTTTAGCGTCCATCAAAGTTCGTTAGTAAGTTAAAGTATCACCTGAACCTCCTACCAACACCGGAAGACATTCGGCTTCCACTGTCATATTTGAGTATCATCTTTCTTAAAAGTCACAAAATGCTGTAATACGATCATAATGACCAATCTAACAACCATGAACACAATAAATTTAAACCAATGTGTGATGGGTCCAGCTGCTTCAATCGATTGCTTTCATCCTACTTGCTTCAATTCCAACATCCACACATCCACTCGCAAAACTAGGGCTTGTAGGAAATCACTAAACTCAAGCTCACGTGCTTGTTAGAATGGCCAAAAGTAACGTCGCGATTTTAAGTCTTCAGGTTTTTATTCTTATGTAGCATATATTCACTTGTTATCTACCATTCTTTTCCCAATTGATTGATCACGGGGTGGTGGTCAATCTCATGCTTGTCTAGTCCTTATTAGTGCAGGTCGAATGCTATCGATCATGTTGCAATGTGGCCACCAGTCTAGGTGACTCGACACTGAGAGCACTATGTATTGAGATTTAGATGGTAGTTGGAGGTAGTCAACAAGAAACCCTGGACCCGGGTTTCGTGCTACTTGGCACTCGTCAGCAAGGTGTACCTGTAATCTTGAGGGAACTGGTGCTCCCTGGCGGATTCGATCTCGTGTCACCCAGCCTCACAGTCAGAGACGTTACCACTGAGCTATCCGAGCCGTGACTAAACTCCTGTAGGACTGAGATGTAATCACATTTGACTGATCACTGGGTGGTGATCAATCTCATGCCTGTCTAGTCCTTATTAGTGCAGATCGAGGTTAGTCACGGCTCGGATAGCACAGTAATAACGTCTCTGACTGTGAAGCTGGGTGACACAAGATTGAATCCGCCAGGGAGCACCAGGTCCCTCAAGATTACAGGTACACCTTGCTGACGAGTGCCAAGTAGCACGAAACCCGGGTCCAGGGTTTCTTGTTGACTACCTCCAACTACCATCTAAACAATTCTTTTCCTTCAGAACAAACACCTTTTGTATTTTTTCACTGAATTCTTTTGCGTTTTACCCTTAAGTCCATTGAGTAATATGGAAAGTACTTATGCTATAGCAACAAAGACGGCCCTTGAAGTTCATAATTCAGGGGTAAATAATGAGTCGGACACCATAGTTTGAAACAATGGAATTATAACAGGGCTCGTGATGACACCAGGAAAAGAATTTCAGATTATTATGTACCACACGGTTGACCTGACTCAAACACCAAAACTGAGTTTCCAACTAAGCAAAAAGGATCACATTCTTACCTATGTTCTTACTCCTAGTAATATCAGTAAGGAAATAACAAATAGAAAACGTAATCCTAATCTGCCGGTTGCACAACTTTCTGGGAGGAAACAACGCAAAAAAAGAAAATTGCGTCTCATGCTCATCGCATGTTGAAACCAGCTACGCAGTGCTGGGATGTAGTTTCTGTAGATTCTGGTTTCACTGTAGCTATGGTCCTGTAGTAGCTATGCAGAAGTATGAGTTCACATTAGATCATTTCTGACCGTGATTCTAATACGTATACTATTGTACTAATTCTCAACAGTTTGTCCAACTTGTATAGCCCAAGTACAAACAAACAAGCGACCATGGAAGTCACAATCCAAACGTATTTATTTATGCAATCGTAGACTGTCGCAGATTTATCAATCGATGTTAACGGCAAGGAGCAGTGTGTGGATGTCAGAAAGGTAAATTGAAGTAGTATAGCCTCCAAAAACTGGAAGTCGTGTTTAAAGACTTCGAGTAATAAGAAACGAGCGCAGACAAATCAATAGATTTGTCCAAACTCTCCTCAATGATATAATATATTTTGCCTCAAAAATGTGGGTTGGGGCAACAAGAACGTTTTAAATCCATTCCGTGACTGTTAACTTTTTGTTACTCAAGATCTAAAACTAAAATAAAATGAGTTACATTCACATATCCAACAATAAAATTCAGCTTCTTAGAAACTGAGCGTCACAGAAAACTAAATTCTTTACTTCATTCAGTTAGTGTTCGAAATTTTATTTTTGTTTTACCGTATAACTAAAACATATCTATGTTATTGTAAATATACGGATGAATGACCTGTCCCTGCGCACACGGGGTTACTTCAAGTACTTAACGAACTGTTCGGCAAATAAGGTATCGTTTACCTGTAAATGTATAAAATTCCTTCGTGTAATAATATAGTTCTCGAATTTCCCCTACAATAACATAATGCATAAATTAGTTTAGTAATTGTTTATGGCTATAGGTACTTTGTAACGATATGTTTCCATGTAAGTTCATATTTAGCAGTTAATTTACGTGGGTTCGTTTAAAAATAACATTCTGTAGATTTATTTTCCTACTTTTTATCAGCTCGTTTAGTGGCTAGCAGAAATAGAGGATGACGAAAATGCGCAACATATCCACTTCTGGAAAGTAAAATTAAACACGTGCAAAGATATGAGATATATGATAAAAACATGTAAAGTGACATGATCAGCTTTGGCTACAGTGGATTACAGGGAAAACGTTCGGTTTTATGCTCGGGAAACACAGTAACTACCGACGAGTAGGTAAAAGACTGTAGCGGTTGAATTTCCTCTTGATTACGCGGTAGTTTTCCATATCCAATGTTCTTGAAAAGCTATAATTTCTTAAAATTATTCTTGCTGACTGGAAATGCTGTCCAAACATTGACCGAGTGGTAGGGTGGAAACTACCTTTGGTCTAAAAATTTTATTAATTGATTGGACTGATACGTTTATTTGAACAGTTACATTTCGTTGGAAGCTAACTAAGTTGAGAATCTATGCACATCTTATCAGTAAATTAAGAGCGATTTTCAGCCAACATATTGAACTACTAATTGTACAGTAAATACTAATCATTGGATTGTGTCAAAACTATGAAGGGGGATATGACAATCCACTACCTCTACTGATTTATAAAAAAACTGAATGTCCGTTTGCTTTGGTATACAGAAAGCAAAGAGATAACTGATTGCAGGTATATTAATACACAAAGATGATTTTTATGAATTACTTTTTCAGAAAATGTCTGTGTGGGTGCTAAGTATTTAGCTTATAAGCGTTATAGCGGATAGTATTTGCGACTAACTGTCTCAGATATTACTCTGTAAATTGTCTTACTTTTAACATTAGTTTACTTATTGTTATGAACTCGTTTTTGCCGGTACAAATCCCATATACCTACAAAGTGTTCTAAACTGTGCGCGGGAAATAGTCATATTTAGCCTCAGCTTATAAGAACAAAAAGCCAAGGAATTTGTGTCGATTTTGGTGATAGAGTCTCTGCAATAGACTCATTTTCCTTTTATGCATTTTTACGGAAGGGATTATTGGAGCTCTCGGTTTCGTTCTTGCTTGAAAACGTCTTGCATCTAACATATATTTCCGGATTTATAAATAATACCTGCTCGTCTACATATATTGGTCATTTCAAAGACGAAGCCTCGAAATATTTGAGATCTAACGTTTTGATGAAATATTTCAACATTCATCACTAAATCGCTTGAAATATAATTATACCGATGAAATTAGCCTAGTATTAGTCTACAGTTTATGAATTTCTGCAATAAATTTTGCTTTAATTTTGTAAGCCTGTCCCAAATCTTCAAGTTTCTTGGCAATATTTCTTGTCCAGTAACAAGTTGTGCACTGTATAACAATTACCGACTATTGATTTGCGTGCTTGAAGGACTTCTTTGCAGTCCTTGGACGAGGATTTATATATACTGTCCCTATTCGGCTAATTTGACTGTTAATTTACTTTGCTCCTTGGAATTGTAACTGTCATATGAGAATTTATGTTTTGTTTATTTTTAAGGTATCACGTTTAGGTGTGTCTTCGCAGTAGCTTATCGTTTTATAAGTTTTGGAACAGTTGGCAAACGGACATTTTTATTCGTTCATAATTGCAATTATTGTTTGATTTAAGGCGTAATCGTTACCAAAATGCTTGTTCAATTTTTTTGTGGCTGCAAACATCCTGTAGAAACTTTCGTAAACCGATTAGTACATTTGATTTTCTCACTTATCTTTGATATGAATTTATTATATCGGCTAAGTTGTATTTCGGACGGGTGTTCCAACTAGATCAGAAGAATTTGATCGGCACGTCTAGTTGTAACTTCACCAGTCAGCTTTTAGTATGTGCTCCATCGATATTATTTAAATCGTTTATTCGGCACTAAATAATTTCTTTCATTTTTATCATCTAACCTTCGGCTTACAACACGTCACATATCCATTCATTGTGCCTTACCTTAATCGTTAAGTTCTACAATTGTGGCTCTTCTGTTAGGGTTCGTCCCATATCGTTTATACCGAGGATCATTATTGTTGCGGTATTTAACTATATTCCTAACTCTTTTTGAGTAATTTTTATCAGCACTATGTTTTTCATTTCATGCGTCAGAACGGAAAATATTACTGATTCTATCAACTTGATTTCGACATTGGGCAGATTTTGGCGGTAAAAAGTAGTGCATTCGTTATGTTAGCTTGGACCGAGCCATCACATAAACCACCATGTCTGATTATGGAACCAAAGTATTTAAATGGGTTCACTTCAACATCTCGACTACCGATCAATATCGTTTTGCTTTCGTTTTTTGTTATTATTATTTTAATTTCTTGAGCGGATATGTCCATACCAATATTTCTATGGAAGCCTTGGAGTTTGTTTGGGATTTTGATTCTTTTTTGTTTGCGTCGTGATACTGATGTTTCTTTGAGCCTAAAATAGTATACACTGACTCTAGGCCTTAAACATGCGTTTACTCGTTCACTTACGTCTTTAGTTTTGCTGCCATTTAGTGATTTTATCAGAAGAGAACGGTTTTTGTTTGTAACATTTGTTTGAGTTACCTTAGGTTTTGAGTTAATTTGGTTTTTATCATGTTTTTTTAAAATGGCACAATTGGTTATTTCCTAAACACGAACCCTGCCTTCTGATAATACTTTCTTGATTAAGCTCGACAACTGTTTTAGTTAAAAGATTTTCATAGAAATATTTTAGAAACACGTCACTGAGTTTGTATTTTGTCTCATGTCTCATAAAAGAAGTGTTTCTTGATCATATGTTGGCTTTGATTACCTCGAAGGTTTTTAAAAATTTCACACTGTGACTGTGTTAGCTTATGCAATGTCTGTAATGGTTTTGTCGAAGATAAAATGCAGCCAAATTCGAAAACAGGTTTATGCTTCTTGGCTACATCGAAAATATGTCGTTGTCTCTGTCGTCAAACTATGTTTGTCTCAACAGCATGTATGACAAATCTATTTGCACAATTTTGTGGGCTGTACTTGTGAAACTTGTACAAATATCGTGCATCACTAGTTACGAATCACTGAAAACTACTCTCAATATTTTCAGTTACGTTTTCAGTCAAAGTTTAATGGTTTTATGATAAGGTATCAGTTGAAACACATCTGCAGAACAAGGAACAAGGTGTTGCTGTAAAAGGTCATGAGGTCAAAATATGAAACTTAGCGAAACGCCTAAACTTGCAGAGTTTAAGAGATAGCTGTTAAAGAGGAAAAGTTACAAGAATTTTAGCACTTTAACTGGAAGTTTAACTAAAGTAAACAAAACAGGCCACTGTTGTGCAACACAACAACGTATGTCGATTTGTTAGACAAAAGCAGGATAAAACATATTTGAAAACATTTGGTGGTGTATGGAGTGATTAAACGCAAACATTACATGTGTTTTTATATTGCTTGTAGTGGTTGATCATGACTTTCTAAGTTGGCTAAAACTAGTGCTATAAGATTTTACCAGATATGATTCAGAAAGGATAACCATAACGGAGTAATTTATTATCTATTTTATGAATAGTATGATGTACTTATCGACTATCTTGGTTGTGTCTTTGGTTAAATAACAATTGAATACTTGTTATTCTCATTTTTCGTGTTCCTCACTAATTGTTTTACTGTCGGCTCATCCTTTAATATGCTGTTAAAAGTTTTGTTTATGTTTTCAGTTATTCTTACAGTATATAGCCAAGCCAGAATATTAACTTTTCTTACTTGCCAGTGGGAGGTTGCTCGTGAGATTCAACCATAAGATAAGAGAACAGTGGTACTAATCTAGTTCAAGTACTGATTAGCTATCTTAGACAGTATCAAATGCCAATTATCTTCGACCAAACGACGGCTCGCTAAATGTAAGATAATGGCCGAGAGTAACACTACACGAATATTGGTCTAGGATGCAGTTTCTTACTCTCACCCATCCGATAGCTGGAGTAGAAAACAACTTAACAAGCAGATAACGCCTAATTATAAAGTTAGTAACTCATACAACAATATTTAGCAAACCCCTGGCCACATCAACAAAGTTAGGAAATTGAAATATGAGCACAATGCGTCACAAGTGGAAGAGAACTGAATAATTGGTCCGTAATAAATTGACAATAATTTTGGAAAGGTAAAATCCAGTACAATTATTTCTAAGTCAAACAAAAGCTCACGAAGAAAAAAATACAAGAATGTAGTAGCATTTAATGATTATATGACGGAAACATAAATGATAACTTAAGATGAGACCGTTTCAATAGTTCACCTTTGATTTATATTTATCACAATATAGTAGTTTCGCTAAATGAATAGGTGCTAACAATTTTTGACGTATAGTAAACACGAGTAGCAGAATGTAACATTTGTAGTCTACAATTAAGTGAAAATAACATGACGTTCTTTCGAAAATAAAAACGCAACCTCTTAAAAGTCCTTGAATAATTTAGATCATTAGACAAGACTTACATTATATTTTCACTTAAAAACACCAACGATTTGTAATGGTAGTGATTACGTTTAAAGCAACAAGAGTTATTTAGTGTCTTTAAGGTTTATAAACGTCGATAAATTTTTAATTTTATACCATTCACATATATCTACCAAGTAAAAGCTTTACTGTGAAAAATGTTTACAGAAAGAATGGAACCGAGCAGTGCTTGTTTTACACAGAGACCCGAAAAATACCGTTATCATGGCTGATTTACAAGATACGGAATATGAGACTTTAGACCTACCTGATACAAAAATAATCATTCCATTAAATTCCTTCAAAGTTTGTCGAAAACATATTGTTTCTGGTCACGCATCAATATCTAATGAGAATGGTCATCCTAACCAGAAGCATTCTTTGAACACTGTTAAAAATGCCATTCCATGTAACCAAATTCATCTAAGTTCGCGATTTTTATTTGGTAAAAAGCAGTTGTGGCTGGGTTTTACATCTCTGTTTGACCAAGATATATGGTATTCATCTTTGAAAACTTTGGTTACAAAACACAGAAACAAAAAGAATACTTTAAATTGTCCCGATTTACTACGAGCATCTGCATTAAGTTTATCCCAAACATCGGAGTTGGATTTACTTGCTTCAGCCCTGCCAAATATCTTAGATAATGAAATATATGAAAGTACTTCTGTTCAAGGTAAATGACATGTTTTCAATTCGCTTATATTTTACGAAGACCCGCTTAGCTTCAAAATGAGCGAGGGGCTATTTTGCAATAACTAGCCAGGCGTCTGTTCGTTCTTTAGTTTATAACCTATTACAGGCTTTCAATTTTGAAGAAATGCACTTTATTATGGTCAAATGTGTAAAGTCACAGATAGACTTGAGCGTACTTTTAAGTGAACCATCATTTTCAATTAGCAAAACACAACCCATTGTGTTTATTGACTTAGTTTGTAAAATAGCATCCATCTGGTCACAAGCTGATTAGTTATCAGTAACGTACATCGCATAAGATCTGAAGACACTTAATTTTAAAAAATGTCAGCAATGTTTAAGTCGTAATGTCTTAAAACCATAGGCAACTCCTTTCCTCTGTAATGAAGATTTTCTTTTTTGTTTGATGATAAATAATACAAGTTTCTGATCATATATATTGGGTTAATAAGTGTCTTCAATATGTTTCTACAATGCAGTTTTGTTTCATTTTAGATCCCTGCATCAGTTGGTAGCAAGTTTTGGATTGAAGGAAGTGTTTTTTTGTACAATGTTAGGTTAAATATACCCGCTTTGAGGGGATAACTTTTATAAACATTTCACTTAATAGCACTGAACTATATATTTCATACTTTTCTGTACTGACAAAGTAAATGAACTCATTTTCGTGTAACCTAAGAACACTCATGAACCGGTGGCTTGTTTATTTAATTTTTCTAACTAGGCATAAAATGTTCTTTAAATTCCTACTGCCGTTAAACGGTGTTTACAATATGTGAAAATAGCTTCAATGAAGTGATTACTTCAATATGACTCAATGTATAACAACGGAGTCTCTTAAAATTAAGTCAATATTCAGGAGTATATTTCTGCGAAATCATTTTAGTTATGCTTTAAGTTCGGATAACAAGAGTTCGTGATGAAAAATATCTGTTTTCTAAATGATAATGAATGAATAATATGTAGGATTTATCTTCTTCAATATATTTCTTTGTATTATTAAAATCACTAATGGCTTTAGCGAACTGATTTTCAAGATATCAGACATTGTGATGCAATGAGTATTGTTAGATTAAAGGAATTTTAACTCGATAATTAACGTTTATAAAGATTAAGGTTTCAGATGTAAATCGTGTATTTCCACTTGTGAATATCTCTAGTGTTTAAAAGATATTTAGAATGATATTAGTGTACGAAAAGTCAATCGTTAAACACATCGGATCCAGAGGGTGGTAGGATTGATTAATGACTGTAGTGTACTAAAAGGCTTAATCATAATTCATATGTGAACTATTTCTGGTTATTTCTTGTTCATCTATCTGTAACACCAGATACTAAAATATGGAGTGGAACTTAGCCAATGATGAGTCTATAAAAGATGCAAAGAATTTGGATTTCATTACAATTTTAAAATGTGAAGCATAGAGCGGTTTTCTCATGGCAATAAATAATGCATTACTCAACCAGCTGATTTTGAAAATAGTGAATTCAAAATATTCAGGAGACGTTTAGGGTTAAAAATAGTAATAACATTTGATTGTTTATTATGAATTCATTTGTATTTTTATTTTATACTGGCTTTTAGATACATTTTCTGTCTACATAATTCATACAGAAAAATCAAAAGATTTAGGGTTGTCTGGTCGTTATTTACTACGTATAAAAGAAAATGCATTTGAACTACTTGATCCGGACACATATTCAATAGTAAAAGTATGGCCGGTCAAATATGCGCGCAAGTAAGTTCATAAAAATTCACGAGTACGAAAATTATACACGTATATCATTTATTTGAAAAGTATATCACGTATGTTTCTATATGAAGAAAGTTATTGGACTATCATATGCTAATTTAGAAACCCTCAGCAACGTACAACTTCTGTATGTCACTTAACTTTGAATCCTTGTTTTCCTACACTAGTTCTCAATCATCATTGATGATAAACAGGAAAGTGGTTTACATTACAAGTCAGCATCGATTTTCTGCCATTTCATTTTATGGAAATGTATAAAAACGTACATTTATAAGTTTGATGTAATAAGTACGAAACACTTACACAATGACAAATTTAGTTAATCCTAAATTTCGAATGAATTTCTCAACCTATGAATAAATTTCAGATACTCTGATGGCTCTAATAGACACTTGAAGTAGCTGAATTAAGTTGTGGTGATTCGAGTTAGGTACGAAACGTCCTGAATATTACGTTTCAAAGACAAGTCACACACTTCCAAGTAGTTAGATCTGTAATGAATCATTTATATGGTACTAACAACGCCAATCTGACATTCAGTTTTGTTGTATTGGCGTGAATTTTAATTATTATCATCTGCCTATAGCAGTTTAGTGTTTGAAATAACTTTGGTAGGTTAACATCTCATAATCCAGAGATATTATTTCTTCCAGTATAAAATGTCGAGTGAATTATTAAAAAGCTTCCAGATTATCTACATGAAAACTGTTTGTTAATGAAGCAATTATTTTTATTATTTTTCGTATAAGTAACTGACTGTGGATTTGGTCTTTTTTCAAATGTCAATTCAAAACTATGACTTTGAATAAAGCTAATACTATTATTGCAGAATGTTTTTATTTGTACAAAATTAAGTCCTTGTTCAGAATAAATATCTCATCAATTTTATGCATTATATCATGTATTTTATAATCCTGATCAAACGGTAAATACCGTAGATTCTTTACTTTTATCCACCGCCAAATGGTCTTCTGGTGATTGTTGTTTAGTTGCAAGAACTTTAAACGGCGTATTATTTATCAAATATGAAAAAAATTTAACACATATAAAACTATGGTTAGTAATTTTTTTACTTGATATCATATTTACAATTTACGCATTTATTTAAGATGCTATTGATGAACGATGTCATTAGTATCTGCACACACAGAAAACTTTTCTGTTCATGGAGAATGAAGATGGTTGATCAAATGTGAAAAGACAATTTACCTGACTCCAAAGAAAATACGTTTGCCCGTTCTAGAGCAAGGCTAGTTAAACCGCATACACTACCATTCGGAAATGTTTTCTAGGTTTTAAAGTACAGGTTTAAAATAATAAAACAGCCAAAAAACGTAAATATTTCAAAAACTACATTATGAATAACAAACAACTTAAAGTTATGCGTATTATTTAAGATAAACTCACGTAATGGATCCTCTCCAACAGCACAATGTTTAATAAAAATATATATATTTCCTTAAAAATTGGTAAACACAAACCTCTGAGTGATGAGGTTTGTAAAGTTGCGTGAGGAATTTTCCAATTAATAAAAGACTTACTCACTTACTTACTCCTGTTACACCTCGTGATGAAGCAGAGGTTGCTCACCAGTATTCTCCATCCAACTCTGTCCTAAGTAATCTTTCAAGTTGGTTCCAGATGTCATTCATTCATTTAGTGTCTGCTTCCAATTCCCGATCCAATGTGTTCTTTGATCTGTTTCTTCCGCTTTTGAATTCAAGATTCCATGTTAGGGCTTGTCTAGTGATGCGGCTTGTTGATTTCCACAGTGTACGCCCTATCCACCTCAGATGTCTTTTCCTAATTTCCTCTTCAATTGGAAGTTGGTTTGTTCCCTGTCATAGCAGTTTGTTGTCGACGCTGTCCGGTGGATGGATATCGAGTATCTTGCATAAAAGACTGTTTATGAATACCCGTACCTTTCCCATGATGATTGTGGTAGTTCTTCAAGTTACAACTCCGTACAGTAGAACTGTCTTGATGTTTGTATTGAAGATTGTGACTTTGATATTGGTTGACAGCTGTTATGAGTTCCATATGTGGTTCAACTGTAGGAATGTTGTCCATGCTTTTTCAATCCTTGCATTTATGTTTGCATCAGATATTCCTCGATGATAGTGACCAGGTACGTAAAAGTTTACATCTCTCTCAGAGCTTCTGCATCAAGTCGATTGGGTTGGTGTTCTCTGTGTTGTATTTAAAGATATTGCTTTTCCTGTTGTGTGTGTGGAGGCCTACTGCTGCAGAGGCTGCTACTATACTAGTTGTCTTGACCTAAATTTGTTGATGTGTATGGGATAGAAGGTCCAGGTCATACACGAAGTAAGAAAAATAAGACTTGTGTTAATAGAGATTTATTAACTCCGAAAACACGACGACGACCCTAGTCGAAAATACACTCACCTATAAATTGATTGTACACTCATTTCGATTATTAACTAGAATAAAATGACATATATGAAAAATACCTAGAGTTATAACAAATAACATGATGTACGTCATGCTGAGCATAGTCCATATTAATTTAATAAAAGAATATCGTATGTTATACCGAATAAAATATTACACTGAGGAACAAAACCAACACAACACTGAGTAATTATCATATTGAATTAAAATGCAAATAATCCTGAACAAAAATCACAATGAGTAAAAGATTGTAATTTTACCTTTTCATCTCGTCATACCACTCTCACATTTTCGATTGACCTTCTGAATTTTCTACGGATACAAATATGATCAATCTGGTTCTCTGTAGTATGATCCAGTGAGACCCATGTAGCTTTGTGTATGCGTTTGTAAGGGAATATTGTGCCACCTGCAACCATTTTGTAGAATTCACATAAATTTGCAAACCTATCACCATTCTCATTCCTTTCTCTCAATCAGTCGATGTCGTCCCATGATATCTTCGTATCCAGTGTTATCCTTTCCCACTTTGAAGTTTTGGTCTCTCATGAGAATGGTCAGGTCCTTTCAGTGAAAGAGTTAATTAACAATTATTACGTTCTTAATTCAGTGTACCTGGTATATGTTTATCATTCTGATTAGCTGGTTACTCATCAGTGAAGTAAATTTATCTACGGTTAGTAAGAAATTGCTGAAATGAAGTAATTCCATGCTGTCATCCTTGCGTTATTTTACTCGTAGCACACGAGTTCACTGTAAAAAGTAGAGGGTACACAATTGAACCTCTTACGATAATTATTTGAATCTACAAACTACTGAACATTCCATCCATTCAACTTCTCATTCAGCGGTCGGAGTTCCTCTCAGAATTAGCATGTTAGAAATAAGATTTTTAACCTCCGAAGTAAAATACAAGTTGACGCATCTTAAGTCTAACCAGACTAAATATATAAAATCCTATTAAAGGACAGATAGATTGAAATACCTTACTTGAAATCTCATAAATAAGCTGCAAGTGATGTATGTATAATGTTCATGAAATGGTTCACCAAAAACTCTCTTTTTGTACCGTTAGGTACATTTAAACCAATCATTTTGCCATTCATTTATTTTCATTTTATGTTTAAGTGCAATGGTTTTCGATTAGCCTTTTCACTCATTTATATTATATTCAGGAACAGAATTTAGCTAGTCGTAGTTCAAATAAAAAAAAAAATGATCATTTTCATTTTATTGCCTTGAGTTTATCATTTTATTTTTCATTTTGGGTAAACTGAAGTAATATTACTTCGAATAAATTTCAAAATCTAACCTCAAGTTATGTGAATTTCTTTAGCTGAGAGAATAAGCCATTTACATGAACATAGAATACATATTATCATAATAGTTTTATTTGTTCCTATATGAAGGACGAAACAGCCGTTCAGCGCTTCCAGGTTTTCCACGATCAAACTTCAATTGACTCATGATCTCAACTATTGAAACTACTATAATATCCACAAAACCCCTTTCTAGTATTAATCGACATATGCTCACTAGTGACTAGCTTCAAGAGGTATTTCCTGGAGTTCTAGTGAGAAGCAGTGACCAGTGGAGTTCTACCTGTTCTGTTGTGAGTTTGCTACACTGAAGATAACTGTGGATGTGTCTCTCAATTTCGTGGATTAGTTGAAGTTAGACATTAACACCGTTGGATACCGGCTCAGTGGTCTAGTGATTAAGTGTCCGCGCGCGAGACCGATAGGTCTTGGGTTCGAGTCGCGCGAGGCGGGATCGCAGATGCGCACTGCTGAGGAGTCCCACAGTAAGACGAAACGACCATCTAGTGCTTACATGTTTTCCATGGTGGTCTAACTTCAATTGACTCATGATCTCAACTACTAAAATTACTACATAAATGTTGCTAACACCTATGGTGTTTGAATTATGTTAAATCGACAGCAGTTGCTTATCACTAAAGTGTTTTTCATTTTTTTATTAACCCTAATTATGTACACCCTTCTGTTCTGCAGCTCGCCAAATAATTATCTTTAGACCTATTTATATAATTATCCTTTTTATTTTATGTGAGTCATTATTTATATCTGTCTACCATTTGAAAACACACGTAAATAATAATGAAGCTTTTATTTATCGATCTGGCCCTATTATGTAACATAAATTAACTGTTTTGTACACAGATATGTAATTGGGTATGTCGACGTTAGTGTGTCACTTTCTTCATACATAATTAGAGAGTCACTTACATGTAACTGAAATATTTATACAATGTACACATACAAAATTATCTATAAATCTATTCATTCCTTCTATATTCTGCTCATGATTTTTTCTCGTAATATGTTTCATATTGAAATAACCATTGATAGAATGAAAACTATTGGTAGCAACATAATTCAAAGTAAGGTAATGTTTTATACAAACATAGATCGTATCTAATAACAGAATTAGGAATTTAAATTTAATCTTGTTTAATTCGTCATTTGGGTTTACCTCCGTCTTTGCGAAGTGTTATTTTTCAAGGGATTAAAGCTCATTCTTTTTAAGAGTTTGAACTCTAGTGTTTGGATTGACTAGTTATCAACATGGACTAGAATACAATATATGTAGTTGGAGAAAACCAAAATTTAGAATATATAGTTATCATTTTCGGGAGATTGTTTGATAATGCTACCTGATAAATTTGACTTTAGTACACATACTTAGTAGCAAGATGGCTTTGATGAACTAACTTTATTTTCTAATATGAAAGCAAATAAATCTAATATAAATAATATAAACAACTTCTGTCAATGTGGTAGGGTGGTTTAATGAAATGTTGTTTGTAACGTATTGTTTAAATAACTAACACGGTATCACCTTGGCATTTATTTCTAGTGGCCATATCTTTGGTCCATATCTCCCATGTTTTGTCGAAAAGTTGAAATGCAGGAAGACTTTGTTAAGTGCTTTAGACAACTGTTCACATGACTTACAATGTTCTCAAAATAAGAATCTCATCAATTTTTCTTGTGTAGTTTCATTCTACTCATTGAAAATTGTGGTTTGTTTGAATCTTGCAACAAGTATGGCAACGAGAACTGATAGTTTTAGAATATTGAAAGTTAAATCGTTTACTTATCACGAAACTGAGATTATCTAAATTTAACAATGGAATCACTCAGCTTCGTTATTTTATATATTTGAGGCCATGCTTTTAATCGTACTGCTTTCCAAACTAAGATTCTCTAAGATAACCTTGTAAGAAAACTTGTCAAATGTCTGAAAAAATGAGAATATTTCATAAAATATTCTTTGTTAAAGGGCCAGTTGAAATTTTTAAGATTGTATTGAAGATGCAAGTTTGTTCGTGGAAATCGCAGGAAATCATCCAACAATAGTACTGAAATCTGTTACATTGCATTGCTGTTTTAGAATAAATTATGTATTAATAATATTGTAACTATACAATCTTTCTCATTTTATTGTTATAAGTACTCTGAGGAGTCACTATCTGGTTAATAAAAAATCCTAGTTTCTAGGCAGAAATTCTGAAACGATTATTCTTTCACTGTGATAAATAAAATAATTGTAAAATGAGCTTTTAACAACCTCTTGTTTAATATATTTTGGATTGTTAGCTGCATGCTTTTGAACTTAATTACAAGCAGTTTAACTTTCATGTCGTATGAAAAAAGTTGTATAACACTGGTAAATAAAGAATGATATTACATTTCATAATGTGTCTCACAAAGTAGATTATTACATCCGGTTTGATCGTTGTAAAGCTATGACTTTCCGAGTACCAAACAGTACGTTTTTATCATACATCTGTTCATTCTAAAATTAATGCACCCCTGTAAAGTTGTTAGTGATGAGGAAATTTTGAAATATAGGTAAAATTCAAAACACATATAAGAGTTAGTCATATCTGTTTAAAAATTAGTGCACTACTATTAATGCTAAGCGACTGGGAGGTTTAGCTTTATCTTTACAATCTTTACACGCTTGGCGGTGTATATAAAGAGTAGATCATAGAAGATATATATATATATATATATATATATATATGTCTTCATTATTATTCACATCAGTATGTCACTTGTATTGCTCAGTTATTCGTGAAATTAACTGATTGATTCAAAAGTTAACTATGTAATGTATATAGAAGAAGAATATTTTAAATATATTTGATTGACCCAACCATACCAAATGCCTGTCTGTTTTTCTCATTTGTGAGTCATTAAAAAAACTAGTTTGAGAGATTCTTCTTTCATTATTCACTTTTTTAGAACTTGAAAGTTTATTTTTACCTATACATTTTCGTGCCTTCGTTGCAAGCTTCATCACAACCATCATCTGTTAACTGTCATAAAAAATAAATGTAAATGAATCCAAACAGGAATGGATGATGGCTATCACTGTAAACTGGGACGTGTGTCTCGTCTTATTTGAGACTCATTAGCTCGATATACATGCATCCTAGAGTTCATAATTACTTCAGAATTAAAAATGTGTATTAGAGCTCAGTTTATATTCTTCCACTTCACTTCAATCAATCTATAATATATTTTGGTACTAGAGAGTGCTTAGATTGTAAATCCATGTCAAATTAAGTTTGAACATGTAGCTTTTTTATTCCTTTTATTAGCTATGAACTTCTAGAACAGTAGTAATAGTAGATCAATGTAAGTTGTTAAAATCCTGGTAACCATCAGTGTATCAAGTCTAGGATTTTAAAATACTTTTAATATGTTCAAAGACTGAATATCGTTAAAATAGTTTTTTAAAACTCCTCATTTGTAACTGAAAAACCCATCGACACTAGCTTAAGCGTAGTTATGAAGATTTCACGTTCAAAGTTTTCAACCTATTACATTCCCATCCTCGATATACTGCTCTAATTTTACCAGCAGAATTATTAATGCAACTTTGGTTTAATATTTATTGTGGCAGTCAACATATACGAAAATTATTACCAGTAACTGACCACTCATATTGATCCAAATAATAAAGGCATTAGTTACTAATTTCCTTGTGTTTATTCTCCACTAGAAATCATCCACACAAAGGTAACCATAAAATGCCATTTATGCATTATTTACCATTTAGTGATATAGAATTGTCAAAAAAAGGAAAATTCTCATTATTAGTGCAGCTGAATTAGCTAGTCTATTTACACATGTTTAAACATAATTCTAGTCAGCTATTTAAAATGTAACATAATACTTTCTATTTCGAAATACCATTTAAACAGACATTTTACTGTAATTTTATGTGCTGACCTATCCATATTGCATCTCTCTGTGATGAATTAAAAAAGCATTTATTACAAGTGTTGATATTCCTTCTATAGGCAATATGACTAATTAAAAGTAAACTCTAACAATCAAATTTGTGTTTAATATTCACAGAGTTTTAGTTTTAAATTTTACGACAGTTCAACCTTTCTTAAAGTAGAAAGTAAAACTTATATTTGATCTTAATTTCTTATAAAAACATTCTGAATTTATGTAGATTCGGTGTGTATACCAAACGTTTTTATTTAATAACTGGAAGTGGATGTGAAGATGGTCGCGGATTGTTCATCTTTCTAATAGAGCATGCTGATAAATTTCAATCAAGACTATTTCGTCAAATGAAACAATTAACTATGCAGTCTCAGTTATCTAGACGTGTTACCGACTCTAGCAAATGGATAATAGATCAAGAGATTAAAAAGGAATCTAGTGAATTTCACTTAAATGAAACAAATCATTGTTGGTTTTCGTCAGAGCCTAGAAAAAAGAAAAATATTCTAACGTCTCTCAACTCAACTGATCCGTTGTTGAAAACCAAACCACGTTCCAACTCTGTTAATGAATTTCTATTGCAAAATATAGAATCAAATAATTTACATCAAAGGCAAAATTCTTCAAATATGTTACCAAAAGAAATCTCTGTCTCATTAGCTTATGATAGCGATGCAAAATCTTCATCATCATCATGGATATTTCCAGAGGAAAACTTCATAATAACGTCTGGTAAATGTTTTGCTGAACGTTCATGTCAAACTATATTTGAAGTAAATACAGCAGAGCAGTTAAAACATTCTAGTAATGTTAATTCACCACGAGTAACTGTAGTAAAACAACAAATACAAGAAAAAAACATGATTCATAATGATTATAGTTCTCAAGAAACATTCATTTCAGAAACACTGTGCGAACGTGAAGATGATAATGTTTTTCTAGAAAAAGAAGAGGAAGAAGATAATTTAAGCGAAACTTCACAACCCGTTTATGCTAATGCTGAACAAATCACCAATACGATGTTCAACACAAAATATTCCAATAATCATAATCAAAAATTACTAACAAATAGTGGAAGCAATGAGGATGAAACAACAGTGACATCATGGTATGTTTAACGTATTCTGGTATAAATTTGTTCTTCATCGTTAGATTTTAGCTGATCAAAAAAACTGTTATAGCTATTGATTTCACTGTACTTTCTACTTTAGAAGTCAGCTGTCATTATTACAAAATTTTCCTGAGACTATAACCAAGAATCTTTGTTCAGGAAATTACCATCTAGTTTACGCGCATCAAGTGGAGATAAATTTTAAGTACGGAGATATAAATGATGTCACAAAGTAATTTTAGTTTCAAAAATACTCATTTAAGAAAAAAACTGAAAGTGAGATTTTATTGGTATACGTTGATGAACACGCACGTCACCAAAGATCCACTGCTTTTAGAATATAAAATACAGTCTAACAGACTTTTAATAACAATCAGGACTATTCACCATAGAATCAATAGTTGTAATAAATATGTCAAAAAACTAGCAAAATCATTACTTTTGAAGTGAAGTCAAATCATAGATTTTGTCGTAAATATTATTTATTTGAAAACATTTATATAGTAATAAATTGCTATTCTAGAGTATGTTAAAATCCACACTTTGCGTGTTATGAGTTTGTGTAATGGTAAACTCGGTTTAACAATTGGATTGAGATTGATCGTGAACAAAACAGTTTTTTGTTTTGTTTGTTTATTATACAAGACCCATGAAAACATTCATAATCCCTCAAAAATGAATGAACACATTAGTAGAGCTGAATGATTAAACCGTCCAAATCAACAGAACTAAACAGAATTGGACTATACACTTGATTTTAGTTTTTCCATTACAAACATTTCATTTTTTGTATATATTATAGCTGTACTGATCCAGTAATTTTTGACAAAGTATTTCAATCCTCAACATGGCATTCTTTACTTTCAAAACGAAATACCTTTTATTTATCTGATAGTCAGACACTTAGATATCTATATTATTAAAAGGGCTACTTACACTTTATTATGGCCAAAAAATGAGTATTAACGGTATCTTCGCTACCTTTCTTTAATCCGTTGTCATGGTTTTTTCTACCTATCATTACCAATATACAAAATGTTTTTGAACCCTATGATTTTATTCACTGTCAACTTTTAATGGTTAGCATTTACTTGTAATATTATGTGAAATCGAATAAACTATTTTATGCAAATTAGACTAGTAATAAATTGCACGAATAAATCTTAAAACATAAAGTGAATATTGATTAGGGTATTCACAAGTGGAAAAAATCTAGTCGTATTTTTACTTTGTAATTTGAGCCTTTTGTTTGACTTCAGTAGTTAAAAGGGGGGCCTGATTTATTTAGAATGGTTGATTGAAGCTTACGTTCTATCTTCATATTGCATACTTATAGAAACGTACAACTAAATCCCTATATTAACTAAATGTATTGGTTATTTATGCATTTTGTAGTTAATTATTTATTCATTCGTTTCTTTCCATTATTCTTAGTATTTAGTCACTGACGATGATTCAGTATCTAAGTTTTAATAAATACTGGAACACAGATGACTTAGTTTTATTCGCAAAATATTACTCTTAAGTTGATAGTTTGACTAATATTGTTTGCTAGTGAAACTTTTGTTGTTCATTTGACCAGTACAACATCAAATTAGTTCAGCTTTGATAGTATTGAATACTCTTGCCGTTTAATGTCTCCACCAGTTTTTAACCAACAGACTTAAAAGATTGCAACAGCACAAATGGAAACATTAGTTATAAGTAATGAAATTCAGTGATACCTAAGACTAAAACCCCTAACACAAATTTGAAACTTTTCATGCCTATTTTGATTTCAGTACGGATTATTTATCAGTGGTTTATTTCGGCAGATTCATTAATCGTAATGAGAATTACTACTTAGTTTCTGAGAGATACTTACCTTTCTATCAAAGTAATGTCAACTAAAGGTTGGAAACAAATTTCCTGTCTTTTTACTTTAATGGTAACTATGTAGTTCTATTGTGACTGATAGATTGTTAAACAGTGGTGTTCCAATGATTCAGAAATCAGTAAAGATCATGGAGTACATCTGCTCCTCCGTTTTTCAATAGGCTAAAGTAAGAAATAATGTTCTACTGAATTTTATTTGAAAATATGTGTGGAAAGTTTAGTACAGTACTTATCGTAGTAATTTAGTAGTCACAATGTGATTCTTATGTTAATATCATGATCTTTAATCCTTTTGAGGGTATAATTTATTTTATTTTTAGTGTTGAATATTCATCGTTTGCACATACTATAAGTCTACAAGGTTATCATTTATTTATTTAGAACAACAAATGATTAAAGTTGAATGGTTTCATGATTTTACTAATGGTGTGGGGATAAATGGTTAGAGTTTGATTTTAAAAATGGCAGATTTAATTATTCAAGTCCAAGAAATGAGGAAAATTAATGTTTAAGTTCTTTTAAATAAAATTATTCGGCTTTTATGAATGTAATTGAGTCGCGCAGACTATAGACCTCTGCTATGATCTGATTGATTAATTTAAAAATCTTCTGTGGTCTACAAATTTAGATCAGTGTTCCTCGCATCTCTGCTGCTCATTTATAATGAATCGCTCATCAGTACAGTTGATTTATAGCTCCACAAGTTATGTAACAGTTTGTTGTTAGTTACGGACACTTTTATATCGCCAATCCCAATTGGTGATGGTGATGACTACAAACAAAAATCACATTGAAATGGTTACAGAGAAGTTTGAAATTGCGATAAAATGTTTGAAATATCCAACGTATCAGTAACTTTTGAAAACAGTTTGAAATGATCTATACACTTTTCAGGTGATTTTATTTATGTTTCTAGTCGTTCTAAATATAGCTCCCAAATTTTTATTAACTTCTCAATCCTGTTGAGAAAGTCTTTAGCCATGGAAATCTATGCAGTTCAGCAAAGACACTTAGTAGTGCAACGCCTAGGATTTTAACTAAAAACTATGTGTAAACAATAGTTTAGGTGTAAATGCTCAACTTTTAATCGAATATGGTTTCAAATTAGACTTATTCAAATGTGTCGACTGGTCAGTGAACTTAGATTTCTTAAGATTTTTTTAACATTTACAGGAACTTTTCTAGGCTAAAAAAAAACTTTTTTTTCCAAATTGGTCGACGTTTACATATTTGAAATTTGATGCGAAATAGAATAAGTCTCGGCATCATACATTCAAAATACTTCTTTATCCAAATACATCGTTTTTATAAATTGAAAGGTTGTCATCAAAATTCATGACTTAATAAAATGGGTTCTACGCCACCTTTGGATGCTTACTAATATCTTTTTTGCTCTATAATATTTGGTAAACGCAAACATTACAAATCTACTTTGCTTTCTATACATTTGAGATTTTTTATAATCAGCGACGTATTATTATAGATTGTGCTATTTTCTTTGGTTCACTTTTTCATTTTTATCAAGTTATTGAATGAGAGGATACTTGAGAAACAGATATTAGAGAACTTCAGAAATTGGTTGAAACTATCATAATGAACAATCTATTTAATTTCAGGTTATCATAGAAAATTCATTTTTAGATATATGAGAATGCTCTCCAATTTTACCATACTTATAAACTTTGAATAACATTATTTAAACAGAACGTCTGTTTCAACATGTGTCATACGAGTAAACTAAACTTAAAAATAAAGCTGTTCAATGATTTGTAGTTAATGATGTGAAAATAATTCAATTAAGAATGCTTTATGCATTTGTTGTCCGAGGTTCAGTAGAGAAATCAATGAATATATGAAGTGGCCGTGCAAATCAGTAATTTGTCATTCACAAATTCGTGTGGGTTAGTTCTTGGGCGAAAATAATACTTGAGTGTTTCAAGTCAACAATTTAGACATTTCGTTATACACAATTAATTATATCTCTAGGAACTATAGAAAGTTTAACAAGTTTATAAAAACTATCTGCAGTATTTAAGCCTATGCTGGTAATCAAATTGAAGGTAAATCTAACCCCTGGATTAAGTATCTAGTTCTCAATATGTATCAGGTGAAGAGGATGATAATCAAAGAGCAGACTTGCAAATTCCTTTTAAAAGTTGAATTTTTAGAATAAAAATAGTGAATGTGAGATAGAAAAGAGGAATATTTATATCTGACGGAATAATAAAACAGAATATGAAAATTCGAATTCTATCACAAGCTAATGAGTTATAGATGACAACAACAGGGCTAGGAAAAACATGATTGGTAAAATATTTATATAGAGAACTGAATGATCCTTTCTAGTGAGCAAACAAACCTCATATAAATAAGATCGAGCACAAAAACGTGTTAAAGGAAATGTGGCGAAAGACATAAGAACTACACTAATAAATAATTTAGTCATGTAAAATAAGGTTTCGAGCAGAACTATTGACTAATGAACATTTACTTAACTGTAAGACAAAATAGCGTTGAAAATACTGTAATCGAATTTATTAAAATTACATTAAGTGAAATACTTACTTTACTTAATTACGCCTGTTACTCCTAATGGAACATAGGCCGCCGACCAGCATTCTCCAACCCATTCTGTCATGGGCCTTCTTTTCCAGTTCTATCCAATTCTTGCTCATTTCTTTCATGTCTATCTCCATTTCTCGGCGTAATGTGTTCTTTGGTCTTCCTCTTCTCCTTTGGCATTGAAGATTCTATGTGAGGGCTTGTCTTGTGACGCAGTTCGGTGCTTTCCTCAATGTGTCTCCTATCCACTTCCAGCGCTTCTTCCTGATTTCTTCATCCGCCGAGATCTGGTTTGTTCTCTCCCATAGTACGTTGTTGCTAATAGTGTCCGGCCAACGGATCCAAAGTATTTTGCGTACACAACTGTTAACAAACACCTGTATTTTCTGGATGATGGCATGAATAACACCACCCACAGTAAAAAATAATCATCGTTTACATTTAATGATAATATGACTAACTTAATGAAACGTTTTTTGAAATTTCAGCGTAAAACAAGATTTTGTATTTGCTGTAGATGATCATTTACTTTTTCGAAACTCTATTATTAACTGATACATTTTGAATGTTTTCAAAGTATAATTATTAAAAACAGCATCTTACAACTAATCTAAGATGCGTAAAAATAACAAAATGATACAAAACATCTTACAGTCATACAAGGTTTCAGAAGAAAATCAAGCTTATTTAACCTTCTGAAATGGCAAGAAACACCCTTTCAGATTAACTTAACTCAGTAAATTTAATATATTCTACATCAGGTCATTAAAACTAGGCGGAATTTTAACAATTATTGATTGTTGCAATTTATTTCTTATATTACGTATAGATAAAACAATCTTATCCATTTAATTTACATTTATATAAAACCTTATTTCCTTCTTTATTTCTACACTTGTTTAAAGCTCAATGAATGTGAACTCACCAGTGTCAGCAATAAGCGATACACCATCTCTGTTAACGTCGTCATCATCTACTTTAATAAATAAACCAGTTAATACTTCGTGTTCATATACAAATAATTGGAAACTTGGTTACTTAATTGAACCAATAATGGAAAGAGAAGAACAAAACTCACATAACTCATCTATATCTGTTGGTAATGAAGAATGTAATACAGCTTATAAAGAAGAATGTGATGGTTTAGTCACTTCATCAACACCAGATAATGATATAGATATAAAAAAGATTAGCAATACTTGTCTTAGTAAATCACCAGCTGATGAATTAGAAAATACAGATGAAGAAAACGATTCGGTTTGTGAAAATGTTCAGTTAACAAAAGAATTTCAAGACATTTTAGAAGACGTAAAATTTTATCGATTGGTTTCAAGATCAGCTACTTGGGATGGATGGATGAAATTGAAGACAAATACAAAACAAGAGGTTACGTCACAGAAAGTTATTGTACAAACAGATACCAACATTGAAAATGACAATATTACTACAATTATTACTAATACTAACGATCATCACGACAGCCCTAAAGTGAAAGATAATTCACATGTTGTTGTGATGACAGCATTTTGAATTGAATAACGGTGGTGTAATTGGTAATGAGTAAACTAACAGTTATTTTCTTATTAATTTTACCCATCAACTATATGTTGTTCATTATAAAAACATACTTATGAAATGGAAGATTTTTCATTTCATTGTAGGTACTCCCATGTGATTAACAGTTGTATACAAAACGAAAATATTTTCCTGGGAATTCATTAGTGTATGGTTTGATTTATATTACTTTTTATTTAAAAAACACCAAAATTTTGTTGCGCACAAGATTATGAAATTAATGATAAATTCAATGAAAGCTTGTTAATATGATTAGGATTTATTAAATGCAAAGTTATAATGATCAAAATCAAGTTATAATACATATTTCATAACATTTTTATAAGAGAATATGAAATGAGACTCTAGATTCAATGTAATATCTTCAATCGTGATCATTTTTTTGTCAATCAGAATTAATTCAGTGCTTTCTATGGAGTATGATGCTTTTTCATTTTATCTTGTTTTGATTCCGTAGACAACTAGTATTAGGTTCTGTTTTTTATCTTTCCAAATAACTTCGTTCAGTTAATAACTTTTAGATAAAGCAATTTTTAAATTCCAGATATACCAATTGTTAAAATTTGAAAAATAGATATTTATGTGGTAGTGTAACTACACTAAGAAATAGAGTAAAACTGGAAGTTATGAATCAAAGATAAACAAAGGCATCATGGGAAGTTTTAAATTGTGTGTAGGGAAGAAAGGAAAATACACGCGACATATATATCTACGTCACTGTATTTCTTTTATCTAGAGTTCAGAAGTAAAGAAATCAAATATGAACAAGTTATTTTCTATTTTTTGAAGTTTAGAATTTATGACAAAATTTCAAACTCGATGTGGATTTTAAATTAAAATACCTCCCTTAAATGTAGATTCCACTTCACTTATCATCATAAAATGTGACGATTTTGGTCAGTTGTTTCACAAGCAGAACATAGCCGTTTCCTATTCAGTTAATTACATAGTACCTATCTTCTACTTTTTTGTATTATTATTATCTTGGAAAACAGATTTTGAATATTTTAAGTCAATCATATGTGAACTATCTTTTTCATCATATGATTGTCTTATGTATTTTCTAATTTACGTTTAAGAAGCTTATAAGTAGTCAGAAAATCCTTTCAACCCCAGTTTAACATGTAGTTCAATTCTGGACCATATAAACTGACTGAAGCGCAGTTGAAATTTGACGAGAAGGCAAATTTCACTGCTAAATCAGTATGGAGCATGTCATTGAATCTACCTCGCATTGGTTATGTTATTTCATCTGAAAATGAACTGTTTGTTGGATTTGTAAATTTTAAATAAGGGATTTCATTTCACGAAGTTCTAATTATGACACTAATAATCACACAATAGAGATTTTTATTCTTTAGGAGTTTATTCTGACTGTGATAGAAGATTCTTCTCAAGATAATGGCAACATAAAATATCACAAAATGATATTCTTAATAAGGCTTTTGTTATTTGTATTTTTGACTAAATATTGATTAACAAAGTATCCATTCATTAGTAGTAAACGAGTATTCAGCCCGTAGGAGCATGAGGGATATCTCTGAGATAAAAGAAAACACTGTCCAATTTCTATTCAGTCACCCGAATTTGTATTTTAAACATAAAAATTTTATCTTGATACTAAAACAATACTTCTTAACCCTAACAAAACAGATCTCAAGTTTAATTGAAAAGTAAGTATCGAACTAATATTTGGCTAATAAAAAACATTTCATATCGAAGTAGATAGGAAAGCCACTAGAGACCTGCTGTTTGAACTTGGACTCAACGTTATTCCTGCTTCGAGTATTGCAAATAAAATGACACGTGGATGATAAAATATTTCATATAGAAAAACATAAGTACAGAGTTCAAGGTTTTCAAAGCTTTGGAAATCTAACTACAGTCATACACCTCGCTATGAACTTTTAATTTATATTTTTAACTACTTGCTAGTAACATGTCACATTGGTTAGAATTTCCAGCTCGATTTAAATATAATGGGTAAAAGTTTTTTTAACATTTTGATATTACTTTTAAAGATATGAATTTATTCTAAGTAAAAACTTAGTGAATTAACTGCCAACATTCTGTTCACGTAAATGTTTTGATGTTCCGTTTATGTATTCTAATACATCATAGTCATAACATTCACTCCAACGCAATATAGATGTATATAAATACAAGTGTAAAGCAAATTTTGCTAAATACTGAAATATACAGTAAGTAGTAATTTTTTTATGAAATAAAATCAGAGGTTTCAACATAATTCATATTGAGATATTTCATTAGATTTCAAAATCACTGGTTTTTGTGTACGTTAGCTAATATTGCAGAAATGTTATCTGATTATGACAGATAAGTATTCGTTAATAAACAGATGAAATAATTTTTGAAAAAATTCAGTTAATACCAGCCATCTAATAGTTTCATTATATTTTAGTTTTATTCACACATTTCAAATAAAGTAGTTCGTAAGAATATTGACAGTAAAGAAATTATTTCGAACCTTTTGTTTCTACCTAACACTTTTCAAACAGTTTAAACAATTAAAGATTGAAAAGTTGACAGTCTTTTACTAACAATAACTATGTCTTTTTATATTTTTTAAACCAAAGGAGAAAGATTCAACATTCAAAAAAGATGAGGTTCAGGTACTTACTATCTCACATATATATGTGGTAGAACTATATTCACAAATTATTTATAGGGTTTCCCTAAGGATATAATGAGAAAAGTGCGGTCCCATTTAGCTGAAGAAAATAAAAATGCTTTTGAATGACCGTTTAAAAAAATTAACGATCGCCACTGTCTTAAATAATTTAACACATTACCTGAAGTATTTCCGCCTGAATCCCTGTCCCAAACGTACCAACAATACTATACTAATTGTTTTTTACTGATATATTTAACCGTACCAATTTGTAAATTAAATAAGGCTCTCTTCGATACCTTTATCTGGACTGAAGTGTACGTTTTCTCAGAAATGTTATGTTTTGTGGTATCTAACGATACTTTCAAATGACAATAGATTAAGATTTTAGCCTTTTACGAGACTATATCAACGCAAGGAAGATAAATCAAATAACCAATACACAGCATTACTTCAAAGTTAATCATTTACCCACAAATAAAAGAGACAAAATACTGTAAATTCAGGAAATCTTTGATATTTTCTACAGAAGGCGAAATGTAATACAATCGTTCTATTTATATAGCATTAACAGAAAACTTAGAGATATGTAAAAAAATGAGGAAGTTGAGAGGAAACAACTAATCAGATAGTTGCAAAGTTAGAAGATAATTAACTAACATATTGACGAAATTACACAATAAAATTCCTGTTACATAACCGTATAATTTGCTCCATATATGATCAGTATGTTTCAGGGGTAACTCAAAATAACCAGTCACACTGATATATTTTCGAAATGGAAAAATTCATTTTATCATTAAATAAAACATGGGTTACAAAATTTTATGAGTGAAGCCTAAAGGTCGTGAATAAAATCAATTATATAACAATGTACTACTTGCGAGTAGAGTACTTTAAATATCTATAAATTGCTAGGTCAATCGTATATTTCAATGGACAGAAAGTGTGTTATTTCAAACAGAAAAATAGTACTAAAAATGCTATTCAATAACTGAACTTTTTGGAAAAATTTAAATATCGGGAATTAGTCATTTGGTTATCAGCGATTAATGAAGTTCAGGAAACTCTCGAAAAATTTAGCTACATTTTGATTACTTAATTAGTAAGACCAAGAAAATCCATTGGTTCTTAAGTTTTAAGACTAATAGACTTTTAAAAGGAGATAAATATTTGGAAGTATTACTTGAGGTTTTGAGATTTTTATGGATGTTTATTAATTTGTCTTTTCACATAAAATTCTGGTAGATTCCTAAAAGAATCGACAAGATACATGAAGATTTTCCAAAATCGTCTCCTTGAATTTAATGGAAACGAAAGATCACTATGATTCACATGTGTTTTCCTAAATGGTCTCTGACGGCTTACCGTTCTAAAACTCAAAATAATTTGATGCATGAGTTCAACCATTAAAATAATTCCGTCTGTTGTGAAATAACTAGATAGCCCCTTTATGATAGTTCAAGTCGTATATTTTAATATGAATTCACTTTCTAATGACCTAAAATACCCTAATATGTACAGATTCCCTGAAATCGGGCTAAATCGTTGTCATGGTTCTCTATTTCTTGTTCAGTCCGTCTGATTTATTGTTGTAACAGTTAGTCGAGAATGAACATTCACTGACTGATAGTTAATCTCAAACTCATTTTTGTACAATTCACTTGGTATTGTTTTACTTGAATCTTCCCATTGCAAATTATGGCAATATCGAGGCATACGCACAGTATGCACATATGCCAATAAGAGACTGATCAATTTCAGTCCTAAAACATCAATGGGAAGATTCAAGTGAAACAATACCAAGTGAATTCAAATTCACCCCATTGCACAAGCAAGTGGCTATCACGACTCAGTAGCTAAGTGGATAACGCAATGGCGTTTGAAGCGAACGGCACTGAGTTCGAGTCCCAGAGTGAACATAAACTCTGAGATGCAGGTACATCCAACTGACGAGTCCCAAACAGGACGAAACGCGCGTCCTGGATCCCACTGCTAGCCACTGTCCGTCTTTGTTTATCATTTTTGTACAGTTTATTCTTCCGTTTTGAAATATATACAGAGAATGTGTTCTTCAAAACACTGAATTTGAAAAGTTATTCCTATTTTTGGCTATTCTATTCTGAAAAATATTGATCAGAAAGGTAATAAAGAATATATATGAAGGAATACGTTATCAAAATGAACTTTTAAGTTAAGAAATTCTTCATTAGGTAAACCAATATACAGTGAAGTCGTAGTCATGAAACATTTTGAAAAAGAAGTAATTATCAAGGTTATTCAGACTTGATGACTTACTTATTCTACTTCGATAGTCGTCAACAAGGTATTTGAAAAACATATATCCAAGATATCTTGTCGAAATGGCTACCTGTTCAATCGGATAAATAATCTATCATTTATTTACTGTGTCACAAATATATGCAAAGTATTAGCCATGAGAATGAGTATTTGAAAGTTTAATAAACACTTATAAGAGGGAAATATGAAATTTAATCGGAAACCTTTCGTTCAACCTTTTATTTGGAAACTTTACATTCAAATCCGAATGTGTCATTTCCTTGAGATCTTGTCAGGAGCATCAAGAAAAGCAATAGTTAAGTCCTACTAATGTTACTAAAGAGCATTAAAATCAGCCAGAAAATACACAATTCAACCAGTAATTCTAGTAAAATAGAAATAAATGATCGTACTGTTTGATGATCATTTTGTACACTTGATCGAATTCACGTTTCGTATTCCCTAATCAATTCATCGCAGTTTGTCATACCATTTTGGAATGTTAGT